TGAATAGCTATTTTAGGCTTTAAATATTTTCTCTGCGAAATAAATAATCTTTGTGCATATAAATTTAAAAAAAAAAAATACTTAGATAGAATGTTTATGTTTGCTTAACTAGACAAAATAAACTGTCGAGTATCACGAGATTTTAAGATAATATCTAAATAGTTTATATACAGCAGTAAGCATACTTTATATACAGAAAAATAATTATCAAAAATATGCCACACCTACCTAGGCTATAGTGAAGCATAGCAGTAGTTAGTATGGTAATATTAATCACCTAATACAAACATTGGATAATTTTATTATCTCATGACACAATTTAAAGCTTTTAGCTGTCTTGTAAAGTATTTATTAAAAAAAGGGGACTTTTTTTAATAAATACTTCTTTCAAATTGATGTAGTTTAATCTAGGATAGGTTATACATTATACTATACATAACTAGTATATGTTGTATATATGTACATGTTACCTGTCTGTGGAAAAGGCACAAAGGCATACACAATTGTCAGATATCACTGTAAAATAAAATTTAACAGTTTATGAGATAAATACAGAATATTCTTCATGATCTTTAATGTCAATATATAATGTGATCTGTACAGTCCCTTTGAAAACTGAAATTTGTATAGTCGTCTGCGAGTGTAACTTTGTTCCGATTTATTCTGGCGTTAACAGCGTGCTTAGCAATATATGTTCTGGTGTAAAAGATAGGAAGATATATTATTCAACAGCCTAAGTATGTATTATAACACTTCGCTCCTCAGGAAGGGCAACGCATATATAATACAATGACGACACAATGTACTAATTATTGTATTTTATATAGATGACGCCTATCTCTGATCATCAGATGAAACACTGCAATTACGTGAAGAAATCTAACAATCTGCTTTCAATGTTAGAAGTGGTTATAAAGAAAGTTCTCAATGCTGTTATATATTTGTAATATAGAAGATGTGGACAAAAAAAGTACACATTTATAATTTACATAACGAGTACCTACCACCATATCCGTATTACGTAGTATGATGAAATAGGAAACTAGAATAGACGACCTGTTCTGGGCTCGACGTTGATTGCTGATTGCTGACATACTGCATTATTGACCCTCTCTGTCATACTCAATGGTACCTTCATTCTCATATATGGAAATTTCTTATTTCTTACACAAATATTTGATATGGATTGTATTATACATTAAAATTTTATTAGTTTTCATATTTTATATTTTTAAAATTTTCAACGATATATTAGCTGCCTTCTGAAAAAGAAATCATTGATAAATAAATTACATACTCTACATTCTTTAAACTTAGTTTTTAGTCTTGTAAACTTCCTCTTAGTTCCAAATTTTATTTCAAAAACAATTTATTGGTGTTTTATTTTGCTCAGTGGTCAATGAGCAAGCCTCCGCAGGGCCGACATCGACTGACCTACATATCATCGGAGTATTGACCTTAGCGCTGTATAAAATTAACCAGTCATGAATTTGTATCGCGTGGTTATAGTGATGCCCCTTCACGTAGGTAGTAATTTTTGTGCCAAGTAAATTATAATATTTTTCCATATAAATAATAAGATTCGTAACCTATATAACTTTAGATCTGCGGATAGAATTGGAGACAATACAGGATAATAAGCATATATTTTTAATATATTATATTACTAGATCTAGAATGGTAGGCTCAATGTCCTGAAAATTATGTTATAGAAATTTTAAATTAGAAAATTCTGTCTAATATTTTCTAAATAACGGGTTACGCATTACTTCTAAATATACGAGTGGGCGTTTTACTTTGAGAAATCCCAAAAAGAATCGTGCGTAAATATAATGATGGAAAAGCATGACGTGGTTTAAGCTTCTCAGCTATAAATTTTAATAACCAGAGCTAATGTCCATTCTATTTGTTCTTAGGGTAGTTATACTGATAATAATGATCTATTAATACATTCGCAATGCTCACGTTGTTTCATAAGTACATTTACTGTTGGCTAACCACCTGGTCGACAATGTTTGCTTCAATGATTTGTCATAATATACTCTATTTTGTAGGTTGTGTAAATGGTGTAGGTATCTATTTAGATACAAGTACCCACGTCATTCATTTACATATTATATTATTATTTACCATTTACACGACCTACAAATTGTATGTGGTACATTACTGTAATATAATTTATATATAAGAGAGATATATACGTATTCTTTTTTAAAGTTTCAATTGTTTGCAATATAAAGTAATTATTAAGTGGCGACTCTAGCATAGGTACAGGCATCAGATTAAAAAATTAGTTATACCCAAAAATATAGAAGTAAAAAATAATATTTTGTTATATGGATAAGACAAAAGCAATAACATTAGTAACTTATTAATATGAGATGAGAAAAAATATACCTAATATCTACCACTACTATAGTTACATGCGTATTTTTAATTTCACAGTTGACTTCTGGCTACATTACTATAAAACATAACACTATCCACTCAATACAATTATTTGCGTAATTCATTTGAATGGCGTTTGTCAATAATACCAGACTTTACGCCAACAATGGACGTACACAGGAGTAAAGAAGTTGACGCAACGTACTTGCCAGAAGTCCTTAGCATTAGGTATTTCTATGCAAACATAATAACACGCCCACCAGTAATAATGAAGACTTAACAAATGTATCTCATCATGACGCACTGCTTGCAGTACCTATGGATGTTGAGAGCAGTTCAAACAACTTAATAGAGGAGCGTCACGTTTTGGGTTGTTGCTCCACGAATTTAGCACATTTCTGTCGGTCGTGACAACAGGTCGTAGACTTTTGTCACTTTGCTTTCTCATTAGAGCGTTACATTTTCAATGGTCGCTATTCACTAGGCTCTTCCATTTATGTACATTAATAAAAGTATTTGTTTAATTTAATGTTCTAACCTTGTCGGCTTAAATTGATGTCCATTAGAGTTTCAGTCGATATATTGAATACGCGCTAACATGCATAAATAATGTTCGCCAGGAATCATCTCATCTAGGTACAAATAGAAATTACATGTTGTACATATATAGGTAGAAGTATTTTTTATCAATATAAAAGTCTGTATCCACCTACATATGCTAACGTATATTTTGACTGGGCCAGCAGATAATGAGAGGATGAGAATGAAGTCAGGTCAGTCTAGTGGTCTTAGCCATGATGTTTTCCACTTAACTTGATAGGGTACTTACATTTCTGGCATGGAGCCTCTAGCTCCTTTAATTAATAATTCCGGGATCCTCCTATAACAGGCATTTACCATCTGGTGCATGGATTGTCAGCTTGATGGTATCGATTACAATACGAGTAGGTTTATTTGTCAGTAATCAGTATCTAAGTAAAATATGGAATCAAATCCCTATTTTGAATTAAAATATTCTCCATTTATGTACTCTAGCCTAATTACTACATTAAGGGTGACGTAAAATAGAGCAAAATATTTCTGGTTACATTTCAGTTACTATAATAGAGACGTAATTTGTAGTTAAATAATGGTATTCTTTCTTTAGTTGAATTATCTAACAGGAGATTCGATACTAGACCTGGATTTTAATATTGAATTATTTCAGTACATTAAAATAATAGCTGTTTCAATTTATTTAAATGGAAAATAATGGCATGTCTGTAGAATTGGCTGATTTCTATGTATTGCATTAAATATATCAGAAAATACATTGTGATTCTAGAAGATCATATTATGGCTTTTTACTCGGTAATGTAATATACTAAAATAAATAAATGTATTGTCCAAGTTGGGTCTGAATATTACATTACATTATAAGTGTGTTATCTTTTTATTAAATAAGGATTTTAAAATCAAAGTATGACCTTCAGATACCATGAAAATAATTTTGTTATAAGAATATCTAAATGGGCCCATGAGGTTGTATATACGTAGAAGGTATAATCTTGAGAAGTATTGGCTCTAATTTAAAGATTCTTTTAGCTTAGAGGTGTGCACCTTTTCATTATTATCCTGTAATAAAAATACTTTAGATAAATTGTTATTTGTACTTACGCTACAAGATAACCATGACGCTGCAGTTTGAGTTTGGTTAGAACAGTATTTTGATTTTATGAAGTAGTATATGTCACATGCTGACATCGTGACATACAAGGTTAAATCTGTAAATACGCCAAAAGGTGTCCGTGCAGAAGAGACTATGGACTGTCAACATTGTGCTCAGTATACCTAAATCTTTATTGATACCCAACGAACTAACTAGTTTTTTTAAAATGTGAGTAGATTATTACTTAAAAACATTCATAATTAACCATTAAATATGGATCAATATTATTTATATATTTATACCAAATAACTAACTGTATCCGCTATTCCCATGCAACGGGGATATTCTTCAATCAGGACAAAATTACCTGTTTTTCATCATCCTAAACCTGCATTGAAACTTGAGTGAGCTTTTATATTTTAACTGACTCTCAAAATCTATCTTATATAGATTAATTCAATGAAATTACATAGAACATATATTAAATAAAGAAATTAAAAGGGTTTGATATTAGGATATATATATATATATATACATATATATGACATCACCGTTTTTTATTGAGTTACTGTCTTGTATAAATATTACTTATATGACCGTTAGCATATAATACACGGTAAGAATATTTGTTTCGGATTATTCTAAGTTAACATATTAATATATCATAAAAATGTGAAAAACTACTATCTACCTTCTTTTTCCTTTATCTAACGCATCAAAGAATTTTGATATTAATTTTACAGTCATGATCATACATATCTTTTTAAAGGTTATGTATGAAACCTTTAAAAATGTATGTATGTATATACCTTTAAAATATGACAAACATGATATCATTTGTCATTATACTATAAGTGCTAAAGTGTGTATATCTGTCTGACAGTTACCTCTTTATGACTAAACGACTGAATGGATATGAATTAAATTTGACGTTAAGATAGATTACTCCTATTACAGAATCTCTTCACAAAAGTACCTAATGTATATTATACCATATGTGCAAACTCGGAACGAACTGGTGCTGGAAGTAATTTTTAAATGAGAAAAAACGCATTAAGTCTATACTTAATCGAACCAATAAGGCTTTACGTCTATTACAGAATCGTTGCTTTTTGTGTTGACTGTACTTAGATGAACAATGTTGCATTGGCACGGGACAGGATGCTAACCGGTCTCTTTGCAGCCTGTCTAAGTAAAAACAGCATCCTATCTACAGGACCGGTGTTTGTTAAGAAGCAGGTATGTAGTAATACGTAGTCGCAGTCATGTTGCTATCTAGTGCTAAAGTTGCACACAATATCTGCCTCGAAGAGATCTGAAGAATTTACTTATCATACTAGAGCCCGCCCTAGCATCATCATATTATTGTGTAAATCTCTAAAGTATTTGTAAATAAAATATAGCACGTCATATTGTTTGTTTAAAATATAGGTATCTATTAGTGAAAGATTTCTTCAAGTTAGGTATTATATTTTAGTTTAGGTACATAATAATACCAATTTTTCCCCTTTTTTATTAGTTTGTCTAAAACTATAATAACTTAATATTAATTATGCGTTAATTTAATAATTATTTTATTGCCAAGTTGCCTGCTAGCTAACATTTCATTCCGCAATTTGATACTTACAGTATACTGATTGAAATTCATAAGGTTACGTTGTCGGCTATTATGAGGGCGACATGCGAATGATATCTTTTGTTTCACAAAGGTTGATGAGGTACGGAACAGAGAGTAAAACAGTTGCAGTTATTGCTAATTTCATCGAGGACTTAAATACATATTTTTCAATAATGTGAAGATATCATAGTCATAAATTTGCGTAAGTAGTAGATAACTGTTAAGTAATGCTACATGGACTCCACTCAAAAACAACGGCATACAGATCAAGAAATCCATTAAAAACTTTTTTCTCTTAAATTAATTAGATGACTTCAATGTTTTCTGAATATCCATATTACTTTTATCCTCTTATCTGTCTGTATATACCTTAAGCATACCTAGTTTTAATGCTACCGAACGACTTCATGTCTGTGGACCAGTTTGATTGTAAGCGGACTGGTTTTTGCAGCGAGTTAAGAACAACCCAGATTTTGATAACTTAAGCACAAAATCTGACTTTATTTCTTTGCCTTGTAAAGCGTAGGTTACCTGTCATTAACACACGATGTTATTTTCTTTAGTAAACTGTTATGATTTCCTTTCTTCGAGATCATAATAATTAAAAAAAATGTTAGTGGTGAACAAATCTTATCACTTAGGGGTATGAAAAATAGACAGTAGCCGATCTCAGACCTACTGAATATGCATGTAAATTTCATAAAAATTGATCAAGTCGTTTTGGAGATGTATCGTAACTAACATTGTGTCACGAGAATTTTATATATAAGATTAATAGTTACTATACTACGCACATATATATATGAGTACATGTAATGAGTTGCTCAAAACACAAGGGATTATTAATTGTTTATTGCTAGAGAATACTAGATGAAATATCAGCGAAACATAGTTAATTGTTTTATTACTCGCTACATAAACCAAATTTTTGGTTTATTTAATGATGTTATGAATCTTTTTAATTATAATTCCGCAAGCAACTTAATATTGTAACATTATTTATAAACTAATATAGAAAATAATAAAATATAACGAATAACATTTTTTCAAAATGTTAAGTGATAAAAATATACTTGTTTACCCATACATAAGATGTGGTTATTTGCCTTATGCGTATAACTATAACAAAAAATACTGTATAGAGAAGTAGATGATAATTTATGTGTGAATATATTTTCTGGTCTACTTGAATAGAGTTCTTGTTTAAATAGATTGTGTAGTTAATGTAATGTAATGTATCTATTAAAAGTAATAAAACTGTATAAAACATTATATCCAACGACTTATTTGTAACAAAACTGAAGAGAATAAGAGTCGACGTCGATGGCACAAAATGATAAAATCACATATTATTGCGCGGCATTACACAAGCGACCGTAATTTCGCTACGTAAATTACGGCCAAGCTCGTGCTTGCGTACAGTCGTACAAAGAATAGCTATCTTCAAACTTCAGATGGTGGTGTTGGAAAACAAAATATTTATATACATATTGTTTCATAAACACACTTAAAATGACAAAAATATGTTAACTTCTACATTTAAAAATATTTGATTGTTTGTTACCTCATTATATTATATACAAACATATAACATAATTACAAAAAAATATATACCTAATGTTTATTCAGAATCAGTAAATTGAATTATGAAACATAGCTTGGCTCTGCTATTGTATGAAGTTGCATAGAATTGATTAAATAAGAAGGTATTTATAAGGTATTTATTAATTAAGTAGTGAAGTTACATAGGTTTTTGTGCGGGAAAAGTCGCAGGATTATTTATGATTTAAATCTTAAATTATCTTGTGACCAAATTTAATAGAACTCTTTAATTATTTTCTATATAATTACGCTTGGTTGCTTGTGATTCTAGAATTTGAATGAAAACAAAAATGATACCTAGTTATTTTTATACAAAGGATTCAATTTACCATGTTATTTATCGCGGCAGATGTTTGACTTCAACGGTTTCGAAAATCATTTTTAGGGTACACGCGGTGCCTACGCCACTGAAGCTCATCTAGCATCATGTGTGAGGAGCATATCTATTTTAAAACTATTCTCTAAAAGGATACGATAATGTAAGTACTATTTTTCAGGTAGTGTATATTTTTAATCTATGACCACAAGAAGGGGAATGCGGCGGGGATTGCGGCGTGCGCGGCAGTGGAGCGCACCGCTGCCGCCGCAGTCATGGTCAAGGCCTATATTAGTTCCAATGTAATGTCCGATTTATGTACACTTTTTGCATATTTTATACATATACCGTTATTGAATCTGTTTATATAATAGTCAACCATATAATTTCCATTTTAAAAAGATAAATCTCCATATGGTTGTCTGTTTTAGTTTTTTTTTTTTAATTCTATATATATTAAGATACAGTAGATTAAATAAAGAGTTTAGAGAAAACTAGTAAGATTTTTAATTCATTTACACCGATTTTATATATTCTGGATAGCAAGCAAGCTGACGGCTCTGAAGAATATTTGTAACCGACTGTCCTTTGTTGGCAAGATTTTATTAAAACATAAAATCTTCATTAATATTTCTCATTAATGTTGTCAACTGCATTTTTCAGTAATTATCTATGTTGTACTTAATTATCATAACAACTATTAAGGTTGTCATGCTGCTGAGGTGACTTGGTACAGGGTTATACTTCTTATTTCGCTCTTACAACGGTATATTTACTCTTTGTTCACCTAGTCATTTCTTACAACATCATGTAGATGAAATGTGATGACACACAGCAATTACTGCGTCATTATATAGAAAAATTATTACTGATAGGTAGGTTAATATCTAAACACTTAGAATATTACGGCATCAAAATCATTTAATGTCGCAATTTAATCAATATTCTTGATTTCAATTACTTCTAGAGTATATTTATGACAATTAACCATTTGAAAACACTCAATCCTTACGGTATTTTATAAATGGCCATTATAATTAAAATGTGTTAGCAATAATAATAGGTGTAGAATTATTAAACGGTTGCTCGTGCATAGTGCATATGATAACATAATTCACAGCAAATCGTTTTTATCGTGTTATCATTACATAGTATAAAACAAAGTCGCTGTTGCTGTCTGTCCGTCCCAATGTATGCTTAAATCTTTAAAACTACGCAACGGATTTTGATAGAGTGATTCAAGAGGATGTTTTATATGTATAATACATATACACGCGTGTGAAGCTGGGGTGGGTAGCGAGTATATTATAATTGGTATTATTCCATTTCGTTATTATTACATAAAAGAAATAGTTCTCAACATGGTCTATCACCTTCACTTGATGGGACATAACGTGCCTTAGTGTTACAGGTATCACTTGATGTTTCCTATGTATTGCCACTAAGAGAACTAAGGTGTCGTGCTCTGTAATTTTATTGTACTTATTCCTTCTACTGAGACACATCTTGCAAATCACACTGTATGAAGAAATTGAACTTTAATTTATACATTCATTCAACATTAGTTCTGATCGGCACTTATATTTTTGGACACCAAGTCACATACTAACGACCGCATTCCTTATGTCGTAATCACATAATATCGATCAAACTAAAGAGAATTCGTCAGAAATATGAATGTCAAAAGTATAAAAGGGTTCAAAACTTCATTATACCTGAAAACACTTGAAAGGCAATAAATGTGGGCGACACAAACATGCCTGATGACGCATAGTATCTGCAGACACGAAGGGATAAGGTAAAAATTAAACGCAAAACGTGAAGTATAAGTATTTTATTGTACTTTATCTAAATTAGCTGCCGTATTTACGTGGCTAGATAGATATAATTATATGGCTATTATTATTTTACCATAAATTTTGGTTTTCGCGATCATCAATACTGAATTAAGTTGTAACGTCAAAAGTTGACTCAACCCTGGACTAAAGTCTATTTTTTATCTAAAAATGTTAAAAATATTTAGTTACTTGAATTTAGTTGATTCGTTAGACCAGGCGTTAGTCGATTAAAATTGTCAGTTTTGAATAACAAATATATAACGGATATACATCTATACCTACTCTATATAATGAATATGATCAAAAGATTCGACACGCTTCACTATTTATAATAAGTTGAAATGACATAAGCGAATCTTATTAAAATTGATGAAAAACACACAAAGGTAGGTGGTCGTACAAACAAGACATGAGTTACTTATCTTTATAGGCATCTTAGACGATATCAAAGTTATTCAAAGGAACTTGCCTTTATTACTATAAATGTGAGAACGTAACCTTTACATATCTACGTATAAAAAAGTCAAAATATGAATAGGAATCGCAGCGAGCCTCCCGATTCCAAACATATATTTAGAATTTCTAAATATATGTTTGGAATATTTTCTATATACGATAACTTATATATTTCTATATTTTTCAATTATCTTACTGATTTTTTAGAATTCGATTTAAAATGTAACCTGCCAACGCATGGATTTAAAAAAAAAATTGGATCCAACTCACTAAAAAATATGCTATGATGCTTTTATCGGTTATAGTTAAAATTAATTGCAAATAATAATATAATGAGGACAGGATTAAAATGACTAAAGGTACATACACAATCAGGTATGAGTGTGATGTTAATCACCCTGTAACACAAAATAGTTAGTTTCCAGTGTCATGGACGTCCCTGGTAAAGTAGGGAAGGCCATCTGCAGCGAATAGTAGTAGTATATTTGAAAAAATATCTGTTTGTGAAGTCTCAAACAGACATTGACTTCAGTATCATCATACATATGGTACATACTCATTGCCTATAGGGGACCATTAGATTAAATACGACTTAAAATTCAGACTCGTCATCTAATCAGGAGTTCCAGGGAGACATTAGATGCAAGTGAGTCAATACTATTTTTATAACAATAAATGGAAGAGGCCTGTTTTCAACAGTGGACAGTAAGTAACTGAGATTATTTTATAGTAAAACTATTTTGGATACAAATGTGTTCGGCAAAATGAAAAGAGTTGATTACATTAATATAACAACAATAGTGACAACTACTCTCGTATTAAATGATGAGAAAATAACTATTTTTAACTAAAACATATGCATATATTATAGTCATTAACATAACTTTACTATAGCTGTAAATATTAAGTACGTCAAAAATGTTCCTCGTAATTCTTACGCCTTGTACTCGGTTGCTACAATGCTGTAATAAGCAAGAATACGTTGTTCTTTTTGTTCTGAGAATATACAAGTATTTACAATAGCACACTTGCTGTTGTTAAGTAGGATACGATTTCTTAGTTATTATTGTAATAATTAAGAGAAAGTGTATAATGTATATCTTATTTGTATTATCTGTTGATACTATTTGAATTGTGGATTACGACAGCAATTATTTAAACTTAAGGATAAAGTAAAATTATTCATTTAGGACATGCGATATTACCTTGACAATAGTAGTAAAAAACTGAAATGTATGTACACCATTTCAATTTTTAATTACTATTTTCAAACCTATCATAAGAGCTTAGTTGGTTTGTTCAGAAACTAAACTTATATGTCACAATTATTTTATTATTAATATATAATATTTTTAACGTGCATACAAATATTATAATGCAAAAATGTTTGACTCTATGTTTGTTACCTTTTCACGACTAAATATAAAGATGGTTTGCAATACAATTATTAACAGAGACAATCTTTTATTTTAAGAAATAATCTGGAACAGGGTAAAATAGTGTTGTAATTTGACTTAGATATAACTGATTAGCCCCTGTTAGAAAGGCTCTTTAAACTTCGTATGGGTCCTGAATTAGTATCAAGATATATCCTAGTCGGCGTAACTACAGATTTTATTCCAGTACTTAACGATATTTTTTGTATATAATTATAACTTACTCAGAATATATTTAAAAAAAGTAATTATGATATACTTACTTATACTTACATAATTACTTTTTTGCATAATGCATTTGTACATAATGTCCTTTAAAGGAACAAAATTTCTTGTCTGTTTCCGATTCGTATGTTGGCGTCATGAACTGATTTTACTGAGTCAAAGTCTATATACATAATTTATTTCTTCTTCAAAACACGGCAAGTTTTCAATTCATAATTAAGAGAACACTACCCTCATTTAACTTTTGTGGATAGAGTCCGACACAAGAGCTGAGAGTCATCTGTAATCCATCAGACAGCTTTTGTTGTCTTACAAAAGACGTGTGTAGGCGTCTTAATAAAGCAGTTCGCATAATCTGTGGCCTTGATTCTGAGATACTTGTGGTGTACGTGTGAAGGTTAAAACACTAAAGTCTCCTGTGAAGTTTTAATTTAATCGATTTATTTAATAGAACCAAAAAAAACTTTTCAGTTAAAACCATCGAAATATATGGTAAATAGTTGATATATAGTTGTAATAAAATAGTTTGAATTTCAACATTGACATTACATGTCATGACAATTTGAAATTACATTACATGACAATTATAAATGATATTTAGGCTAGTGTTTATTGTTTACTAGTACTTGTGTTAAAAAGAATTACTAAATAACTGGTAGAAGTACTCATATTTTTTTCTTGTAATTACATACGTAATATATATATACAACCATATCATATGTAATACAAACAATCGTAATCCAAATAAATAAATACTTGTATCGTGTGAGGAATTGAACCCGTGGCCATAAGATATTATTAGGCGATGTTCCCAAACCGATATATAGTCCGCCGATAAATAGTAATATTATCATTTATACAATTTCTTTCTCAGAAATAAGCACATGACTTGCCTGTAAGGCACACCTCCACTTTTGTAGTCGTATGTAAAATTTCTTACGTGTTTCTTTTGTAAATTACGTATAACGAGTTTACAATATATACAATAGATACCTACTGTATGCATGTCTAGATCTTTTTCATAATATGTAGGCTTGAATGGGGCGTCGTTAGCTTTAGTACTTAGTTGGATATACGACGCTAGTAATAAAATAAACTATTCAAGACTTATATTAAAATAAAATGACGTAGTTTTTTTTTTTTGTTCTAAACATGTTATTGTAAACCGTATTAATAGGCAATCATTATTATGCATCATTTAAAATATCAATCTTAATAATATTGTTTTTACATAGGTATTTTATTCTTCGAAAAAAATATTCAGTTATTGCTGGCGCAGAAAATTTCTACAATGAAATAATAATAACGACAATAAAAAATTATTTCAATTTTTTAACAGATAAGTATAAAATATCTATAGATTTACCAAATTAATTATTCGTGTTAACAATAATACTATCAAGTCAAATCAAG